ACCGCCAAAGATTTAAAAAAAAATATTTTGCAGTTGATTATATTTTCGTGTGAGTAACCATAGCGCAACTATTACCTCATTGGTGTTGAGTGAGTGCCCCACTCTATTGGCCTTGTGCTAGACTAACTATCCAAAAACCTACCATAGCACAATTGTTAGAATGATCGTTTCTCAAATCAGTTAGCATACTGAGTTAATAGTTGCTCCACTATTGCGGTCTTGTACCAAACTTAAGCTTGTTAAGAAGTATTTAGAAGTCTACCTCAAGGTAATTCTTTTCCTCAGCGTACCAGAGGTCGGTGCTCATACCAAGGTAAAAAAAAAATCGAAATCTTGTTGGCAAGCAGACACTTTCGACTTGGAATATTGGCGAAAAAAAAATTTCCACTTCATTGTTTCCGTTTTGTCTTGCGTCGTAGCAGGCTAAGTTTAATAAATCACATTAAAGGCATGCAGTTTATATTCCGACAATTACTTCCGGTGATACATTTTATCCAAACAAGAAGACATCGAGGAGTGCTTGTTATTTCTGCAAATTCCAGAATAGTTTTCTTGGAAAGCACGTATATTGCTTTACATTTTTCTAAGAATTTGTTTCTTTCATATCATCTTATAAATGTTTTATAAGAAGAATAGTGTCCAGCGAGTAAATATTATTTGATATCAATCCAAGAGAAGGCTGAAATATTACACAGTTGGACAGTGGGAGTTCTGTGCTTGACTCTAGGACAGTCATGGGCACACCGTGGCCGCGAGCCGCATGCTGAATACATTGAGAAAACCAAACGGATGACATGCGGCTCAGGGGCCAGTGTGCCCATGACTGTCCTAGAGTCAAGCACGGAACTCCCACTGTCCAACTGTGCAATTTACACCTGATCTACGCCTAAATAACGTTTCTTAAAATTGTATTTCGTTTTCTTCTCACATGCACACTCACACTTTACTTGGTAAGAAATAAATATATATATATATATATATATATATATATATATATATATATATATATATATATCGTGACCAAGTTAAAGAAATAACAAAACAAAATGATTATAGAAATAACAAATCATATATTAAACAGTAAGTACACCAGAAGAGTATTTCACGACTAGTGAGTGTGTGTCGGTTGACCCAGCGTTCAATCTATTTGACTGTTATATTTACCAGCCTCCCCCACTAGGTAGGATGTGGCACAAGACCGAGTTTAATGTGGCGCAATCCGAACAAGTAGGCTTGTTCAAAACTTCTCCATAGACCCCGTATAAAACGGGGTCGGGTAGCTGTTTCCCAAGACGAGACTCTGCTCTTCGATATAACCTTGTCTAGCGATGCTCTCTGCCTGGAGGCAGGGACTTTGATCAGCACAGCTGAAACAGATCTATTCAACTGTTAATATTTAACAGTAGGGGGGATGTATGTGGCACAAGGCTGGGTTTACCGTGGGTTCTCCGAGCCCGTAGGGTCGGTCAAAAATATCCCCGTGGAACCTGCATAAACAGGTCCGGGCCTGTCTACCTCCATGGACGAAACTTTGCCCTTCGGCAAAGCTTCGTCCAGGTTCCTCTCTGCCCAAAGGCAGGGAGTTCGTCACAGGAGCTGCGAACAGTCACAGCCTCAGTAGAACAATCTATTCGACTGTTCTCCCAAGACCTTCTCTCCTACTAATCTTATAGTAGGCGGAAGAGTCCAACATAGACTCTTTAGAGGGAGGACACCACAGCATATATATATATATATATATATATATGCCTGTTCAGAGATTGTATCACTGATACTAATAATAAACCCACTACATATATTGGTTTTACTACAACTACCTTCTCCCGTATGCTTATTTGTTACATTTCTGATCTTAGTTCTATTGAGCATTTCTTAGACAAACATAGCCATGTAGACAGATATTAGTTGATAACACCATATTCACACATACACACATTAAAAAGAACTTTCAGATATTACATGCCATCTACATTAAAACAAAGCGACCCACACTCAACAAAATTATATTTCAAACTAGTCACAACACATTACATTACATTTAGACATATGGCTCTGTTGTTAATATTTCGGTCTCTCACGTCGCATGACGTCATAGGACCGTATCTTGAACTTACGACCTTCATCTGCTATTCCGCGACCGTTATTGTCGCATAGCAGTCTTCTATGTCAACATAACAGAATATCAATGGTGAATATCTTTGTTAAAATTTTTTTATAGCAATTCACCCCAAGCAAAGTGGGTGTGCCACTACCACGCAAGGGGCTACAGAGGATTGAGAACAAGAGTAAAGAGGCATGTTTGGGGAAAGGATACAGAGAAGGACGGGGAACAAGCTCAGGGTGTCAGATGTCGATTGACATTACACTTGAATATTTGAAGATTGTAGTCATCGGGGAAGCAAGTAAGGGGAAGGGAGTTCCACAGACGGGAAGTGCGGGAGAAGAAGCTGTTTGAGTACAAGAGATGGTAACATTTAACCGTTTTGGCAGTGAAAGGGTGGGGCCGAGTTGCCAGCCTGGTAGCTCGCTTAAATTCATGCAGTCCAAGAACCAGCAAAAGTAGCTCGTAGGAACAGTTACCGTGAAAATACTTGTAAAAAAGAGACAGAGGGCGGCCACGGCACATCTTTGGGGTAGCGATTGTAGATTACATGCCAGATTATGACCTATCATCTTGCATATTCGTCCCCTGAGATTTTTTTCGAGGACCGCGAGACGTACAGCGGGAGCACCAGACAATATATGACAGCTATATTGCACGCAAGGACGGATGGTTGATTTATAGATTTGAAGGATGGATTCAGACAAGAAAAAACTTTCTGGCACGACACAGAGAACCAATTTTCCTTGTGGTAGATGAAGCTATTGATTCAATGTATTTATCCCACCTCATGTCAGTGGACAGCGTGAGACCAAGCAGGCGTAACGGCGCGATCTCGAGGAGTTGGGAATCAGCTATTCTGTCCGTATAACCACTCTGAAGATGGCTCATGTGAGCCGAAAGCTTAGATCAAGGACCAACTTAATAAAAAAAAAATATCCAAATATTGGACAATTTTTGGCTTTATTTTCACCTGAAATTAAAGCAAACATACGAACTTTAGAATGGCTCGTGATCAGACATAATAGACAGAGTGGGGTACCTTACATCGGGTACAAGCGGTGTAAAGGAATTCTCCAAAGGTTGTGGAAAATATTAAGAGTAATCTAGAGAAGAGGCAGGATCGTAGAGCAGTGGAGATTCGCTGAGTGGGTAGGGATCCCGAAGAAAAAGAGATCAAAATCGATGGGCCAATTTCACATTATCTCCTTGCTGAATACAGAGAGTAAGATCTTTTTCGTGTTATTGTCAAGACGCCTTTCGAACTTTATTCTTAGAAATGGCTATATTGACACATCTGTTCAGAAAGGCGGGGGTCACCGGAATGCCAAATTGCCTTGAGTATACAGTAGTCACAGCTCCTAAGAGAGGCTAAGGAAAGCAAGGTGAACTTGATTGTATTGTGGTTAGGTCTCGCCAACGCCTACTGGTCCATGCCACACAAACTGATGGAAGAAGCTCTAAAGAGACATCACGTATCTTTATCAGTATGCGATCTGATTGTAAACTACTAGGAGAATTTCCTACTAAGAGTAGTCGAAGTCAGATTAGTGCGGCTAATGTGTACATTGGTAACTATAAAAAACTATTTTCAATTACAGTGGTTAAAATGAAGTATGTTTTACTGCATTAATTGAGTATTATGTATTCACTAATCGAAAACGCATTAATTGAGAGAGATATACATACATATATATATATATATATATATATATATATATATATATGTTTGTGACGCTGGGTTTCACGCTTTTGCGATCATCAGACAAATGTTTGTGAATTTTTCTGATGATCGTGAAACCCAGGGCCACAAACTCATATCCATACAACTGAATATGTTAGCTCTATCACTGATATTGAGCGCTTGCCACTAAGTACTGGACATACAATATATATATATATAGAGAGAGAGAGATTGAGAGAGAGGAATCCATCCCTTGATTAATGCGGGCAATATGTACATGGGTAACTATCAAAAATCAGTTTTCAATTACTATGGTCAAACTGAAGAATGTTTTATGCATTAATTGAGTATTATGAATACGCTAATCGAATTTTGGTAAATATTTTAGCGCACTAATCGAAAACGCATTAATCGAGGGTATCTCACTCCTTCTTCCTCTACTCTCCTCCTCTCTGCTTGTCTCACTTTCTCCTCCACTCCCTTCCTCACTTCACCTCTCTCACTCTTCTTCCCTCTATAACTCTCTCTCTCCCTCTGTGTAACAGACGGTATTTTAAAGAACGATATCTATTCTTCCCAAAAAGGTTTGAGTACTTTAGACTGAATCCATCTGTTGGCCTTTCTTTCAAAACATTGTATTCGGCAATATGCATTGAAATGTTTAGACAATTTAAAGATAAGAAGCTACCATTAGCACGAAACGAATACTTTTAAGAGATACATTTTTTTAAAAAATCTTTAAAAACCTCAGCTGTAATCGGCGCTTTCTTTTCTTCTATGCGCTGTGTCCACTCATGGCTCTCCACAATGTCCTCTCCTTTGTAGCTCTTAATCAATTTTGTCTTTTGTCTTTTCTCCTAAACTTTGTTCCGCCATCCGTTGACTCAAGCTCACGAAATAGATTATGCCTTCGGTCTGTGCTGTGAGTATCAAATTTTCCAAGCCCTCTTTCTTCAATATATGCGCAAGAAATTCCAACTGTCTCTTTCGGAAGTTAATTATAAATGTATATGGTATTCTCAGCATCCTTCTGCAGAATCACATTTTTGTTGTTTTATGTTTGTTCTTCATCTGTGGGGAGATTGTCCAGCATTATTTACCAGTCCTGGGAATGACGACAAACTACATCTGGCGGGTCGGGAGATTGGAAATTTTGCGGATCCTGGAACCACCTCTTAATTACTGTTGTTCCCAGGTCCACCTTGACCCGAGGTGGTAACACCGGTTAGGGTCCCAGCTATAGGCAAATCATGAGACCCCTACCCAAAAACAAAAACATTAGGAAAATATAAAAATAAATTTTAATAATAAAAATACGAGCAATACATATAAAATAAGACATACATACATAACCGACAATATATTTTATCTGTAGCTGAAGTCAAATAGTTGCGTTCAAAATATATTTAGTTGAAGCCATAAAATTGTGTTCAAATTGTTTAGTTGTCGGCATTAAATGGGACATCGGAGTTAAACAAAACCCACTAACAAAATCCAGCTTTGCTGTCAGGTAGGAGGACTTATATTACGTAACAGTTATTTTGTTTGTTTCTAACAATATTTTTGTTTCTTAATACTTTATTTAGTTTTTGGAAGGCATCTTTCGCTATCCCAATTCACCTTCGGATTTCGGTGTCGCACTTTCCGTCTTCTGTTGAAACACTACTTAGATATTTAAATTTTTGGTACTTGTTTGATTTTTCCTGTTTCTTAATACTTTTCATAGTTTTTGGAAGGCATCTTTCGCTATTCCAATGCACCTTCAGATTTCAGTGCCATATTTTCCGTCCTCTGTTAAAGGTTTTCCAGATATTTAAGTCGTTATCTTTGCTTGATTATGGTATCTCCAATTTGTAATTTGTATGTTAGACTGTTTTTTTTTTGTTAACAACATGTCTTCTTGCAAATGGTCCTTTCTTCTCACCTTCCTTGCAGTTTCCTTTCTGTGTCAGCTATCGACACTGTCTCATTTGCATATCTTATGTTGTTAATATTATGGCCGCTAATAATGAATTCTTGTCATTCAGTCAGTCATGCGCGATGCGTGATACACACTTAGGCGATCATGTGTCTTTTAATACATGACTGACGAGGCAGTTTTTTTCCTGCAGTATGTTGCCATTTCTTTCTGCGGTAGACCAGTTGCCATCCGGGTTGGCAACCAGTTACCATGTTGGTCTGTCCTGCTATTTACCCATAGCTAAGGGGAGAAGCTCAGAATCGTTACACTACATAGGTTGAAAGTTTCCGGTGAGAAGACACATCTATGTCCTATACCCTTTTATTTTTAAAATTACGATTTTCTTTAACAGCATTCTCCAGAAATGTCTTGTCATTAATATTTAGGGAAGTAGTTCTCAAACTTCTTGAATTTAGGGCGCTCTTGAAATCCTACCAATGATTGTAGGTGCACTATATACAAATTTTGGAAAAAATCTGTTATAATGAAGTCAAATATAGCAGAAAAGAAATAATGCAATAAAAAAAAATAAAATGAAACATACCTTAAGTTTATTCATTCTTGTGTTTATGAGAAACATGAGCCTGATAAGTCTTAGTGATTTCTTCAATGTTTGGCCATATATTTGATAGGCAAACTCTCATTTCTTCCTCAATACATTGAAGAGTTTGTAAATGCTGCTTGGGTTTATGCGCTGAGGTTATCAAATGCAATTACTTGTTCTAAGAGCATTCATCTATTATATATTTAATGATTCAAGAAAAGAAAACAACGAGACTTCAATTGTGCATCAACAATAAAATATATATTAAAACAATAACATACAAAACAATCATGTAATGGTGTGTCGTAATTAAAGGAGAAAAAGTTGCTTCCTTTCAACTGTATTCTGATTAAGATTTAATGTTCAAAAGAATTTCTCTTGAATAATAATGTTCAGGATTCTATGTTGAAGAGTCTGGTGTTAGAATAGAATACAGTTAATTAAGAAGTGTGTTGTTTTGAGTAAGTAAGAGAGTTCTGGTTCATGAACTTGGCATAGTCACAGAGAGGAAGAATATGTGTAATGTGATACAAAAATCTGTGTGTGTGCATTGTGAGTAAAGTCGGGGATTTGTGTAGACAGGCGTAATAGCTGGACTCTACTGAAAGTTGTGGAAACAGACCACTTGTTAATAAAGCTGCTGGTAGCCTCCAGGCGACTACGCGGGAAAATTGATTTAGCACAAAAATGTTTGACTGGCTAAAATTCGACCAATCACTGATTTTGTAACAAAGAAATATGTGGGCAAGTTCATAGCAGAAAAAAAAATTCAAAGTGGTGACTGCGATTGCTAAATTGTCTTATGGAAAGACAGTATCGATTTACTAGCCAATCGCAGACGAATAAATTGTGGGCGTGGAAAGCGTAGCAGTCGCTACAAGTTCCTCTCTTTTTGCACTTAATTGTGGTGAGAGTAGAAAATGCTAATTCACATAAATATGAACGAGACGGGTATCGTAATATAATAAAGTAAATATATTTATTTCTTATATCTGGACACATATTTCCCTGGAAGATGCCAGGGCGCATTTAGACATTTTCAGGGCGTACCAGTACGCCCAGTTGCACCGTTTGAGAACCAATGATTTTGGGATTAAAGAAAAATTAAAATAATCTTAAAAGATGTAAGGAAGATACAAATGCCAAATCCCTGGCCAATTCTGCAAAAACTTAGCCAATATGATCCTTTAGCTGTGAAACTGATACTGAAAGATTGTGAGTCCAGCTCGCGGCATGATATCTACTGAAACTGTGCAAACAATAAGAAAATTAAACGACTGTGGTTATTGAAAGACCAAATGGGGTAAAAAAAGTCCGGTCCGTTCTTCGAAAGGACAATTTAGGCTTACATTGGTTATATTATCTGCATAAATCAACTAGGAATTTTTATCGATACAGTTAACTCTGTTATCGCACGTAAGAAAGAATTATATTTGTTTTTAAAAAAAAGCGTTAAAAATAAATCTATACAGAGAAAAGTAAGACAAGTTGTACTGTGAAAACATGACAGCCAAGTGTATTTTCCATTTACATTGGTTAGATTCTCTGGTTGAATAATTTATGATTTTTATCTCTACAATTAACTCCACTGTCGCATGTAAAAAAGAATTATGTTTGTTTTTTTTTGTTTTTGTTTTTTCGGGGTTTTTTTAAAAAGTTAAAATTAAAACTATACAAAGAAAGGTATGACAAGTTGTCCTGTGAAAACATGACAGCCAATTGTATTTTCCATTTGCATTAGTTACATTGTCTAGTTGAATAATTTGTTATTTTTAAATTCTACAATTAACTCAATTGTAGCATATAAGAAAGAATTCTTCTTTTTGAACATTAAAAGTAAAAATATCCAACGAACGCTAACAGAATACATAAATAAAACAATATATTAACAGAGTCATCTCATATACTTACTAATGAGATATTCTATTGTTATGGTAACATGAGACATGTTCGCTTACTGACGTTGGTTATCTTAACAACGGGATATCACACTACAAAAAGACCAAACTGGGCCTCCTGAAGGACAACTGTATAATGTCACATTGTCTTTTAAATTGTAAAATAGAACGTTATCATCACGGTGATATCTGGTACGACGCCGCCTGGGAGAACAAAGCGAGAGTTTGGAATCTCTGATTCCACAACAGAAGGATTGCCATGAGTTCAAACCACAGAAAACTGACATCAGCACAGAGAAGAACGTGGAGAGGGGAAAAATGCGATAATGTGTTTGCTTAATTTACCAATTCCTTCTTGTGGGGTCTACAGCTTCTGACGCGATACCAAATTCCCACGCACGCCCATCCCGCATTGCTACCCAGCTCCCGTCTTGGATAACCTATGTTATGTTTGATGTGTGTATTTGGAACCAGTAACTACAGACTGGTTGGTGTGATGGGGTGCGGGGTTGAAGAATGAACATTTTAGATGGCGTGAAAGTTGATAATATCCTAATTGTCTCTCTGTTGCGTCTTGGCCTGGCTTAGAACAGCTACCCCTCTGATTTTGTTTTCAGGAGAGATAAATTGTTTTATGGCAATGATGAGGCGTGATTTTATCGGGATAATTGTTGAATGACTTACAACACGATTGACGTTGTACTCACTCACATCTGTCAATGTACGCCTTGCTTGTGCAGCTGCTTTTTCCGTATCAATATATCTATTTATCTATCTCAGTATATAGGTATCTTTCTATCTATCTATCTCGGTATATAGGTATCTTTCTATCTCGGTATATAGGTATCTATCTATCTATCTGTCTCGGTATATAGGTATCTATCTATCTATCTGTCTCGGTATATAGGTATCTATCTATCTATCTGTCTCGGTATATAGGTATCTATCTATCTGTCTCGGTATATAGGTATCTATCTATCTATCTGTCTCGGTATATAGGTATCTATCTATCTATCTATCTGTCTCGGTATATAGGTATCTATCTATCTATCTATCTGTCTCGGTATATAGGTATCTATCTATCTATCTATCTGTCTCGGTATATCGGTATCTATCTATCTCTCTGTCTCTGTCTCGGTATATATCTATCTGTCTCGGTATATAGGTATGCATCTCTGTCCTATATAGGTATTTATCTCTGTTCTCATTTAGGCTATCTATCTGTCTCTATATCGGTATCTATCTGTCTGTCTCATTCGGTATCTATCTATCTATCTGTCCGTATATCGGTATCTATATCTATCAATCCGTATCTCATCCATGTATTTAGTTCATTTAGTATATTCGTATCTATCTAGCTATAGATCTCATTCTATTAGTATCTATCTCTCTATCCGAGTCTATTCGTATCTATCTCCGTATCCATCCATGTAGTTCAGTCTATTCGTATCTATCTAGCTATCTATCTTATTCTATTCGTATCTCTTTCAGTCTATTTGTATATATCTCTCATTTTATTCATATCTCAGTTTTTTCGTATCTATCTATCTATCGGAGTCTATTCGTATGTATCTCAGTCTATTCCTATTTGTCTATCCCAGTCTATTCGTATATCTCCGTCTATTCATGTCCATCTATCGATCGATCGATAGTAGATAGATATTATTAAACCACGAATAATAAAGTTCAATAATTATCAGATGTCAGCTCAGAGTTTCGTAATTTCTCACTCGTCAGGAGATTCGATAAGAACATCCCAACGAGTAAAAAAATACGAAATTTATTCTTATCGAAAAATGTTCAGATGAGCACTCCATTCTTAAGTTCCACGACTTTTGACGAATGAAAATTTATGAAACTCTGAGTTGACTTTATTTCTGATTCAATAATTATTGCTCTCGACAACTATCATGCACTTTCTTGAACTTCTGTTCACCTTGTTATATGTTAATTTATATCATTTCGTATACCAAATAGGCAGGATTATTTTATTTATTTATTTAGATCCTTATCATTTGCCGACCGCAGTCGGGATCACTGAGCCAATGTGAACGATCCTTTCCTTTTATCTGTATAGTAAGTGCTATGCCAGGGTTAAATATAGTTTTGAATTCAGAGTTACTTTCTTCTAGACTAGTTGCCACCCAAGCTTGCTTACCATTACACCACCTCGAGGAGCCCAAAGTGATTTTTCCAAGCGTAGCTTTGATGTGGCACAAGGCCGAAAGTAAGGGAGGCACCCAGTGAGGATCGAACTCACTACTCAGTCGTAAATGTTGCTAGCAAAACAAGCTCGCTAACCATTACACCACCTCGAAGAGCCCTCTTCTACACATCTGGATATGATAGGTAAAAAGTAACGAAAAGCATTGAAAAAAAATCTATTATGTCTACTGTAATCAGGATGATCGAGCCAATGTGAATGATCCTTTCCTTTAGCTGGTAAGGTAAGTGAATTTAGCTGTATACTATTTGCTACACCAGGGATAAATACAGTTCTTGAGTTCAGAGTTACTTTCTCCTGGATTGGTTGCCAGTTTTTGAACTCAGAGTTATTTTCCTCCTGGACCGGTTGCCACCCAAGAATGAAGAACCCAGTCTGTCTTGCTATTTATCCATAGCTGGAGAGTAAGTGAATGTAATGGATCCGTTTGAAATTCGAACTCGGCTCTCCGATTTTTCAATCCGAGCTGCTATCCATTACTCCACCGTGCCTCTTCTCAAGTAAGTATGTATTCATTCCTTCAAGCATTCTAGCATTCATTCATTCCTTCAAGCATTCATTCATTCATTAATTCATTCAAGCATTCATTCATTCATTAATTCATTAATTCATTCAAGCATTCTAACATTCATTCACTAATTCATTCAAGCATTCATTACGTCAAATATCAATTGTTTTAAAAAGAAAAAGGACGAATGTAAATGAGTGCTTGTATCCATGTAATACATCAAATCTGAGTAGATAGATAGAAGTTTGGGTGGCAGCTGCCCAGTCCTTACTTTCCAGTCTCGATAGAGTTCAAAAGTGTCTCCAAATCCTTGTTGTAGAATAATTATTTTCCACCCAAGAGCATCTCTCTCTCACAAGCGAGACGTGGCGAACCTTTCACTGCTTTATCGCGACTTCCATGGAAAGTGCTCAAATGAACTACTTTTCTTGGTTCCACTAGGTCTAACCTTCACGGCTAGGACCTGCCATGCCACTTACATTGTAGCAAACCACCCACATTCTCTCCACATTCCATCAGTTAGAAGTAAGTTCCACTCGGACAGCTTCTTCCCGCGAACCACTGGTCTATGGAACCGACTCCCAAGAAGATGTTTCCCCGGATTACTACAATCTTAACCTGTCCAATTCTTATCTTCCCTTCGTATGCGTGCAAACTACACCTTAACGTAACCATTTACCTCGAGTGGTCCCTGGGCCTTCTACAGGGTGAACATTCTGTAAAAATATAGATTGAGAGAGAGAGAGATGTCGTAGTAACATATTCAGTGAAAGAGAAAATGTACTAATATTAGTTAATAGTTGATGCATTGAAGATTCTTTAAACGATAAAGTATAAAAGACTTATACAAACAATTCTCCACATTTAAGAACAATATATTTTATTGCCTTAGCAAACTACATAGGAAGAATACAAAAAGAGTGAGTGAATGCGTGTGTGTGTGTGTGTGTATATATATATATATATATATATATATATATATATACAGATGTTCTTATTTGTATGTACGTGTGTGCAGAGTTCATATGAATGATTGCGAGATACTTACATTTTGAGAAAACTTTTTTTATCTGTTGGTGCTGTGTCCCTTCAGGACGTAGGCGATCATGGCCCTCCACCTCCTCCTGTAGCTCTTAATAAGCCCATTAAGTATACCACGCGTTGCTTTCCGTTGTCCCTCTTCCCCGCTATCTGTACTGTGAGTATCAGATTTTCCAAGCCCTCTTTCCTCATTACGTGTCCCAGAAATTTCAGCTGCCTCTTCCTGATGTTAAGCATAGGTTTCCTTTTTGTTTCGATTCTCTCCAAAACATTGTCGCTTCTCACATGTTCCGCCCATCGTATCTTTAGCATCCTTCTGTAGAACATTTTTGTTGCTTCTTCTTCATCTTTTGCCCAGCATTCGCTGCCATACAGAAGGACAGATACCGCGTAACAGTTCAGTACTCTTTACTTTGTTTCCAACGAAACTTTCCTGTTTCGTAATACTCTGCTTAGCTTTTGGAAGGCATCTTTGGCCACCCCAATACGTCTTCGGATCTTAGTGTTGCACATTCCGTCCTCTGTTAAAACACATCCCAGATATTTAAATTTCTCTACCTGCTTGATTTTAGTGTCCCCGACCTGTGAATTGCACTTTGGGCTCATTTTTTTTTTTTTTTTTTTTTTTGCTGATGACTCTGCATTCTGTCCTCTTGTAATTTATGCTTACTCTCTTCTTCTCGCTCTCTTTCGCTACCTTCTGTAAGAGGTTTTAAAATTTCCTTTCACTGTCACTATTAGCAGTGTCATCTGTATATTTTATGCTGTTAAGATTGTGATTGCCAATGATACATCCTGAAAGGATTTCCAGTTCTCTCAGAATTGCCTCGCTGTACAGGTTGAATAAGTCCGGTAAGAAGATCCATCCTTGCCTTAAATTTGTTTCTATTCTTGCTTCCCTGATAACTACAATTTTCAAAAATTTAAATGCAACGTCAATCTCCATCATCTGTTGACTTGAAACCCATTCAGCTTTTATCCTTTTCTTATTCTCCCCCTTACCCACTTTTCTATTAGTTTCACTCTCTGTAAACCCTGCTTGTTAGTGGCACTCGTGCCTTGATTGGGGTGAAATGATTAAAAAAATGTGAATTTGGTGACATAGTAACTGTGTGTTTAATCCAGGTCAGTTTGTACTTGGACTCAGTAATATTTAGTATTTTATTCCTATTTAGTACTGAGCAGTACTAAATAGGAATAAAATATCCCTAGGGATGGACAACTGAAGGAGAAACGATCTACGCTTGTAGATTAGATAAAAGATTCAGTTCGAAATTCGCTGAAGCTTAACTGGATTGGCATATACTTGAATACCAGAAGGTAAAAAACTCATAAAGTTGTGATAACGACAACAAAGATGGGGACATTCGTCTACATTTAAATACGTCGGACGTCGGAAGCAAAACAGTCTACACCTAGACGAGGACGTCGGAAGCAAAACAGTCTACACCTAGACGAGGACGTCGGAAGCAAAACAGTCTACACCTAGACGAGGACGTCGGAAGCAAAACAGTGTACACCTGGACGATGACGTCGGGAGCAAAACAGTGTACACCTGGACGATGACGTCGGGAGCAAAACAGTGTACACCTAGACGATGACGTCGGGAGCAAAACAGTGCAATCTACGTCCGTAAATTAAATACAAAAGTTCGGTTCGAAACTTACTGAATGTTTCCCGGATCGGCAGACATCTGAAGAAGGCATGAGAGCAGAACGTCCAAAACTTTGTCATAATAACAACAAAAATGAGGACACTTGTCAGACTGTCAGTAATGTAAATAAAGATAACAATTCATCCAAGATAACGAGATAGACAAATGAAGGAATATGTGATCTTGACTAATGCTTACTGGGTTTCTTATCACTTTAGCTTCGTAAATATTCATTAGATTTTCTGAAACGCCACCTGAATTTCCATAAAATATCTTTGGATATCTTTCAGCTACTTCTCCCACCGCCAAAACGTAACTTCCCTGTGTCTGTTCTATAAATATTTTCCTGATAATTATTCTGATGAGCATTTCTTTTTTTTATACATAGACTTTATGAATTTAAGCACAGTACTAGATTATCAGCAATGTCTTATCATTTTAGAGTTGAATTGCCTAGATGTAACCGTAAGTTCTATGTTAACAGTTTCTTCTCTCCCACTTCTTGCTTGTTGAACTCTCTTCCGGCTTCTTGCTTTCCCGTCAAGTTTGATCTTCGAAAATTTTAAATGCAATGCAATTCGTTATCTTCTGTCTTCTTAATTCCTGTCGTTTATTGTTTTCTCTCCTTAAGTGTTTTCTTTTTCTCATATTCTTTCATACTCAATAACCGCTGATATCTTAGTAGCTTTATTACCTTGCTTGGGAGTGAAATGATTAAAAAAAAAAAAAAAGTAAATTTCAGGATAATCTATTGAAATATTTCTGAGGAACATTCCTAACATTTTTGGTCATATTCATTTTTTTTTTTTTTTTTGCGGTGTGTGTTGGGGGGGGGCGTTAACACAAAATTTCTGTCATTCAGTTCTACAATCCGAATGGAAAATGGACGATTTCTTTTTCTGG